GAAACACCGTGCTACCTCTACATTGTATAGAAACACTGTTCTACCTCTACATCGTACAGAAACACCGTTCTACCTCTACATTGCATAGAAACACCGTTCTACCTCTACATCGTATAGAAACACCGTTCTACCTCTACATTGCATAGAAACACCGTGCTACCTCTACATTGTATAGAAACACCGTGCTACCTCTACATTGTATAGAAACACCGTGCTACCTCTATATTGTATAGAAACACCGTGCTACCTCTACATTGTATAGAAACACCGTGCTACCTCTACATTGTATAGAAACACTGTTCTACCTCTACATCGTACAGAAACATCGTTCTACCTCTACATTGCATAGAAACACCGTTCTACCTCTACATCGTATAGAAACACCGTTCTACCTCTACATCGTATAGAAACACCATGCTACCTCAACATCGTATAGAAACACCATGCTACCTCAACATCGTTTTGAAACACCGTTCTACCTCTACATTGCATAGAAACACCGTGCTACCTCTACATTGCATAGAAACACCGTGCTACCTCTTCATCGTATAGAAACACCGTGCTACCTCTACATTGCATAGAAACACCGTGCTACCTCTACATTGCATAGAAACACCGTGCTACCTCTACATTGCATAGAAACACCGTGCTACCTCTTCATCGTATAGAAACACCGTTCTACCTCTACATTGCATAGAAACACCGTGCTACCTCTACATTGCATAGAAACACCGTGCTACCTCTTCATCGTATAGAAACACCGTGCTACCTCTACATTGCATAGAAGCACCGTGCTACCTCTACATTGTATAGAAACACTGTTCTACCTCTTCATCGTATAGAAACACCGTGCTACCTCTACATTGTATAGAAACACTGTTCTACCTCTACATCGTATAGAAACACCGTTCTACCTCTACATCGTATAGAAACACCGTTCTACCTCTACATTGCATTGAAACACCGTGCTACCTCTACATTGTATAGAAACTACGTGCTACCTCAACATCGTACAGAAACACCGTGCTACCTCTACATTGTACAGAAACACCGTTCTACCACTACATTGCATAGAAACACCGTTCTACCTCTACATTGTATAGAAACACCGTTCTACCTCTACATCGTATAGAAACACCGTTCTACCTCTACATTGTATAGAAACACCGTTCTACCTCTACATCGTATAGAAACACCGTTCTACCTCTACATTGTATAGAAACACCGTGCTACCTCTACATTGTATAGAAACACCGTGCTACCTCTACATTGTATAGAAACACCGTGCTACCTCTACATTGTATAGAAACACCGTGCTACCTCTACATTGTATAGAAACACTGTTCTACCTCTACATCGTACAGAAACACCGTTCTACCTCTACATTGCATAGAAACACCGTTCTACCTCTACATCGTATAGAAACACCGTTCTACCTCTACATTGCATAGAAACACCGTGCTACCTCTACATTGTATAGAAACACCGTGCTACCTCTACATTGTATAGAAACACCGTGCTACCTCTACATTGTATAGAAACACTGTTCTACCTCTACATCGTACAGAAACACCGTTCTACCTCTACATTGCATAGAAACACCGTTCTACCTCTACATCGTATAGAAACACCGTTCTACCTCTACATCGTATAGAAACACCGTTCTACCTCTACGTCGTATAGAAACACCGTGCTACCTCTACATTGCATAGAAACACCGTGCTACCTCTACATTGCATAGAAACACCGTGCTACCTCTTCATCGTATAGAAACACCGTTCTACCTCTACATTGCATAGAAACACCGTGCTACCTCTACATTGCATAGAAACACCGTGCTACCTCTTCATCGTATAGAAACACCGTGCTACCTCTACATTGCATAGAAGCACCGTGCTACCTCTACATTGTATAGAAACACTGTTCTACCTCTTCATCGTATAGAAACACCGTGCTACCTCTACATTGTATAGAAACACTGTTCTACCTCTACATCGTATAGAAACACCGTTCTACCTCTACATCGTATAGAAACACCGTTCTACCTCTACATTGCATTGAAACACCGTGCTACCTCTACATTGTATAGAAACTACGTGCTACCTCAACATCGTACAGAAACACCGTGCTACCTCTACATTGTACAGAAACACCGTTCTACCACTACATTGCATAGAAACACCGTTCTACCTCTACATTGTATAGAAACACCGTTCTACCTCTACATCGTATAGAAACACCGTTCTACCTCTACATTGTATAGAAACACCGTTCTACCTCTACATCGTATAGAAACACCGTTCTACCTCTACATTGTATAGAAACACCGTGCTACCTCTACATTGTATAGAAACACCGTGCTACCTCTACATTGTATAGAAACACCGTGCTACCTCTACATTGTATAGAAACACCGTGCTACCTCTACATTGTATAGAAACACTGTTCTACCTCTACATCGTACAGAAACACCGTTCTACCTCTACATTGCATAGAAACACCGTTCTACCTCTACATCGTATAGAAACACCGTTCTACCTCTACATTGCATAGAAACACCGTGCTACCTCTACATTGTATAGAAACACCGTGCTACCTCTACATTGTATAGAAACACCGTGCTACCTCTACATTGTATAGAAACACTGTTCTACCTCTACATCGTACAGAAACACCGTTCTACCTCTACATTGCATAGAAACACCGTTCTACCTCTACATCGTATAGAAACACCGTTCTACCTCTACATCGTATAGAAACACCGTTCTACCTCTACGTCGTATAGAAACACCGTGCTACCTCTACGTCGTATAGAAACACCGTGCTACCTCTACATGGCATAGAAACACCGTTCTACCTCTACATTGTATAGAAACACTGTCCTATCTCTACATTGTATAGAAACACCACAAAAGAAGACATTTATGTTTCACATATAAAGATAATAGATCGTAGCCATTGACGCACGTTTGGCAAAACAAAGGCAACACACGTGAAACACATGTGCGCACAATTTCAGGCGTTCAGTGTTTTGCTGTAAAGCTTCATCTGCAAATGACAGGCAACAAAAGGCTTTTCACGCCCTCAAGAACACCAATACGGCATCAAACAATATCATGTCTAGACACACTGATTATACACGATGAAACGATAATTATATAGTTATTGTCATGACCATTAGATGTATTAGGTACATTAGATATTGGGGTTTAAAGTTTATTGAAGTGCCCTTTCCAAACGAGATACATCAAAGCTCCTTTGTCCACTGTGCCCAGTCATTTCATCAACATTAGTTGTTACGTCGACGTGTTAACAATCAGAGCCGTTTTAAATCACAGCTGTTACCTTGACAAGGCGAGAATAAATCTTTTATTTTTCTTCTTTTTTAATTTCCATATTTTCAGGTACAAGCAAGCAACAACTGTTGCATAATTGTTACAGTACGCATATTATATTTGACTTAATATAAACAAATACATTAATTATGCATTATTACATATTGCTGAAATTGTCATCGAAATCTATACAAGCTGGCCATGGCTGTATATATATATATATATATATATATATATATATATATAGATATAGATATAGATATAGAAAAGGTACATATAAGATGATAGCTAAAAAGAACATCACAATATACAACGAGTATAGGTTTTGATAAGCATTGAAAACATTATGGCTCTTCAATACAGGTAAAAACTTAACTTTAAAGATAATGTACGTTAAGCTACATTCAGCAAATTACCAGCAGGAAAAGAACTTCCACTAGAAAAATAGAGATATTTAGTATGGTCATAATATTTTATAATCTCTCTTTTTATGTGTTCAACATTTGATATATTCTTGTTTATGCTAGATCTAAAAATAGTTTTCTTAACCAATAATATAATTTCATTAATAGGATTGTTGTTTTTACCTTTTATGCCTAATATAAGATTTTGATTTGAAAACTGTATGGGTACTTGTAATTATGAGAATCCATTTTTCTAGTTTGTGCCATTTATATATTAGAAACAAGTTCTGTAGTTTCAGGTTCGCATTAGGTGAATCAATAGATCTAATTTAAATAAATAATTTCTAACTGATAGTATATTATGTATTATTCTATATTGTAACCATTTCGGATCGATACTTTGGGTTCACTTATTTGAAATGATTTTGAAATTTTTTCGATGACATGCATCAACCAAGTCAGCAAGCCTGACCACCCGATCCCGTTAGTCGCCTCTTAGGACAGGCATAGTCGTCTTTCACGGCACGCATGGGTTTCTGCAAACCTATTCTATCCCGGATCTTCAGGGCTCCCAACTGTTTGCACGTCTAGTATGAGGTAATAAAAACTTCTGGAGAAAACTAACAATGACCTAGTTCGTGACCGTGAAGATCCGGGTTAAAATAATATTCATCAACCCATGCTTGCCGTAAAAGGCTGCTATGCTTAAACATCTCCCTAACCTGAGTATAATCTCACATGTACTCTAAGTTCCGTACTATATTACTTTGCGGAGACATTGAGTATAATTTTTGAGTTGGCATTGTATGCTGCCTGAATGACTTTACACAAATCCCTGCGTCAATGGACCCGTGAAGATCTTCAACAACCCATTCTTGGCGTAAAAGGGCGACAGCGCTTGTCGTAAGAGGCGACTACCGGGATCGGGTGGTCAGGCTCGCTGACTTGGTTGACACATGTCATCGATCCCAATTGCTTGGATCGATGCGCATGATGTAAATCCCTGGATTGTCTGGTCCAGACTCGATTATTTACAGACCGCCGTCATATAGCTGGAATATTGCTGAGTGCGGCGTTAAACAACAAACAAACAAACAAACCTAAGATGAATATGTCCTTTGGCTTGTACTGCCTTTAGGTACAACTAGGAAAACCATTTGGTCCAGAACGCTAATCATGTTCGAATATTAGTAGAACTCCAAAACAAGAGTCTGTTGGAAAGCTTTTCTGTGGCAGTAATCCTTACTGTGTTATTTTCTAGCATTCGGACGTAAATACTGCATGGAGGATGGGAGATGGTACGTCCACCCCGACACTGGAGCCATATGGACCGACTACAGGGCGTGCCCCCTCGTACAGGTACGTAGAGTAGCACAGTGGTAAGAACGTTAGCTCGTAACGCGTTCGATTCCCTATATGAGTACACGTTTGTACTGTTTCTGACAATTATAGGACTGCAGTGATGTTAAGTTGAGCAGGTCTAGTGGTCTGGTGGATACAGCGTCTGCCAAGAGACTGCCTCCGTGATGTTGTGGATAGGGCGCCTGCCCGGTGAAGTCGACGGTTCCATCACTGGCTACGTCATGCCAAAAAGTCTTTTTCGGCTCGGGGGCAGTGCTCTGTGCCTGAGATGGGCATCCATGTTTAATTGCTTATAGCATATAGCACTAGAAACCGCCACGGGCTGGGACTAGTAAAAGGAGCCACACACACAGCGTGTCGCAAAATATGTGCAAAATAATTAATTTTTATTTCATCAGTTTACGGGTGATTTACCATGGACATGTGCGTTATTGTTATTGTCTTTCACACATGGCCCCCTTTATCCTCACTTCGGTAAACTAATTCCAAGGAGGGATCATCATTTGTTTGTTTGTTTGTTGTTAACGTCGCACTCAGCATTATATGACGGCTGTCTGTAAATAATTGAATCTGGACCAGACAATTCAGGGATTGACATAATGAGCATCGATCTACGCAATTGGGACACGATGACATGCATCAACCAAGTCAGCGAGCCTGACCACCCGATCCCGTTATTCGCCTTTTACGACAAGCATCGCCGCCTTTTTACGGCAAGCATGGGTTGCTAAAGACCTATTCAACAAGCATGGGTTGCTAAAGACCTATTCAACAAGCATGGGTTGCTGAAGACCTATTCAACAAGCATGGGTTGCTGAAGACCAGTTCTAATCCGGATCCTCACCCGAATTTTTACTGGGAAGACAAGCATGGGTTGCTGAAGATGCATTTTAACTCGGATCTCCAGGGGGTATTCCAATGTGTTTCGCTCAGATAGATGATGGGTAGAGCTCTTCTCTCCGAGTGGCAACCATTATCTGCAGCTTCTTGAGGATTTTGTCGCTTTCATCTTTAGAGGAAATAGGAACTCCTCCATCCCATTGACGATCACTCGTTGCGTGCTTTTCGATTAAGTATCCTGGATTTGATAAAACCATTAGAAGTAAAATTCTCGTAGTTGAGATGTGTTTCTCAATGTGTTTAGTAAAAGTGCCTCGAACATACTCAGAGAAAGCTGACTGATAAAACATGTACAAAGACAAGCATATAGTAAGTGAGTGAGTTGGGTTTAACGCCGCTTTTAACAGTATTCCAGTTATATCACGGCGTGTCAGCTTAATGTGGGAGGAAAGCCCGAAGTGATGCAGGTTTCAGACGTTTACCACTTCGGTGAAACCCACGAGCACGGGTATGGTGCTGACAAACCTAGAAACATAATCTGGGCGAACCGGGATTCGAACCCACAATTATAGGTTTCTGGCGTGCCCAAGGGACGCAACTCTGCACAGCGAATCGCGGCGCCTTAGACGACTGGGCCACACGTGCCCCCGACAAAAATATAACGACGAATCCGATGAGATAGGGTTGATGTACAAAGATGACGATATAATGACAAAGCCGATGAGATTAACAGAAGAGGATGCAATTAAGTACACTGGAGGTGCAGTGGTGACAAGGTGCTGGCTAGTTTGAAGTTTAAGTTAGTGTCTAGATTCTTCCTTTAGATTTCGATACTGTCTTGATGTTTCCTCTTTTTCCAATGACTGATGTTGATATGGAGAATCTTGGCCAGGAAATATGGTGGTAAGGATTTTTTTATGAAATGTTCCGAAAGGGCAGACTTCATGTCATTTCATGTGATATAACATGTATAACATGAGAAAGCTGACGGATATAACACGTAGAACCGGAGAAAGCTGACTGCTACAACATGTAGGGCAGGAGAAAGCTAGGTTATATAACATTTAGGGATATAACATGTATACTCGGAGAAAATCCTAACGGATCTAACGGAGAAAGCTGACGGATATAACATGTAGAACCGGAGAAAGCTGACGGATATAACGGAGAAAGCTGACGGATATAACATGTAGAACCGGAGAAAGCTGACGGATATAACGGAGAAAGCTGACAGATATAACGGAGAAAGCTGACGCATATAACATGTAGAACCGGAGAAAGCTGGCGGATATAACGGAAAAAGCTGACGGATTTAACATGTCTACCCGGAGAAAACTGACGGAGAAAACGTTAACATTTATACCCGGAGAAAGCTGACGGATATAACATGTTGAACCGGAGAAAGCTGACGGATATAACGGAGAAAGCTGACGGATATAACATGTAGAACCGGAGAAAGCTGACGGATATAACGGAGAAAGCTGACGGATATAACATGTAGAACCGGAGAAAGCTGACGGATATAACGGAAAAAGCTGACGGATTTAACATGTCTACCCGGAGAAAACATGCATACCCGGAGAAAGCTGACGGATATAACGGAGAAAGCTGACGCATATAACATGTAGAACCGGAGAAAGCTGGCGGATATAACGGAAAAAGCTGACGGATTTAACATGTCTACCCGGAGAAAACTGACGGAGAAAACGTTAACATTTATACCCGGAGAAAGCTGACGGATATAACGGAGAAAGCTGACGGATATAACATGTAGAACCGGAGAAAGCTGACGGATATAACGGAGAAAGCTGACGGATATAACATGTATACCCGGAGAAAGCTGACGGATATAACGGAGAAAGCTGACGGATATAACGGAGAAAGCTGACGGATATAACGGAGAAAGCTGACGGATATAACATGTAGAACCGGAGAAAGCTGACGGATATAACGGAGAAAGCTGACGGATATAACATGTATACCCGGAGAAAGCTGACGGATTTAACGGAGAAAGCTGACGGATATAACGGAGAAAGCTGACGGATATAACGGAGAAAGCGCACCCATGCAAACTGTCGAGCAGGAGAGCTGAACAAAAACAACAGTGACACGTCATTGCCCGAACTTACAATCCAAAACACTTTTTGAAAGCTAGACTGTTGTAGAATTTATAGAAAATGACATGCTTGTTGATCAGAGTTATTTTCAAGGTTTTTCTGTATATCACAATACGGTTAAGGCTTACTTCATTCTTATAAAGTAGTGTATATTGCCACTTTAGCTTTTGTATGATAACGTGTTTTCATCTTATCACGATAACGTCTTTACTTTTTTTCTTGGTCTGGGGAATTTTAGAACTTCTGTATGGAAACCTACAGGGAAAGTCTTACATAAACTTTATTCAAACTAAATTTACACAATCAAGTTGTCGTACCGCATTTTCCAGTCGTCGACGCATTTAGTGAAATGCCATCTGATCTGAAATAGATTTCAATACTTGAATTGTGTTTTTCCCTAATTGATCCATACGTAAACATCACTCAAGTAATAGCTTCGGGGAATGGAAAAACATCGTTCACAAATATATGTTCTTTGATATTATTAGATTTTCGGTCTTTGACTTTTAACGAAATTACTAATCGTTGGATCTGGTCTTCGATAAAGACAATTATTAATATTACAGACCTAGACGACAGAGCTGTTTTGTTTCATGTCGTTTTAAGGGAATAACATTAACAAGATGACACAGAAGACACTCTTAAAGTCATCCGTGGACTTTTAGTTTATTGCCAATCATACAGGTAGATAGTGTAACAGGTAATGGCGATTCTTGTATTAAAATAAATACCCATTTTAAAAATGAAATTGAAAATAATGTTTATGCAGTTCTTATCGCCTGTTATTGGAGCTCCCAGTTGTACCTGAATGTATTCTGATCTCTGATTCTGATTGTATATTGGTTTTATCTATGTAAGATTAATAGATATATGTGAGGATGCCGTTAAATGTGGTTTGGTGAGATTAAATGAGATTTTCGTTGTGTTCAAGATTAGTTCACATGCAGAGCGACGTGCTTGCTTGCGCTATGCCACGCGACTTCCACTGACTCGGAGAAAAGCGTGCGGTTTTTTGCTTTGAAGCGGGGTATAAAGGATGTATTCTGCCGTTCAGAAATCCACGCGCAGCCTGACCTGCTCGTGGCGGGGTAAATTAGTTTTATTTCCCCCGCTGAGAAATTTAGTCCCCTTCAAGGCGGGGTACACAGTATTTTATCAAGATCACATGGACCAATCAGATCTCATCATTCTGACATGGAGGTATGATAATTAAAATCTATTTGTCCGAAAACGTGTGCATGTGTCCTTCAAAAACAGGCAAACTTTAAAAAACTGTAACAATTTCGTGTGCTTTATTGGAATCCCAAATATATACATCGTGTGCTCAAACTGTCCCAGATATCAATACTCTCGGATAATGTGTTCTACATGTACATATAACACATAGGACAGTGACAAGGTTCAAGCTTGCAGACAATAATTCTCACGGCTTCGGCATACCTTGTATATATATACAGAAAATTTCATGCAAAGCAATTGACCAATCAGCTACTTACTTTTCACGTAAGAAGGTTACGTGAACAGCTGATCATGAAAACTTCAGAACAGTATGCCAAAACTGATCAGAACTGTATGCCAAAACTGAACAGGGGACGTACAGTACTGTAAGAATGAAGGGAACTAAGCTTTAAGTGAGTATTTTCGGCCCAGTAGAGGGGTGTTCCCTGAGCAGAGACTAAGACCATGCTAGAGTGAGTGAGTGAGTGAGTGAGTATGGTTTTACGCCGCTTTTAGCAATATTCCAGCAATATCACGGCGGGGGACACCACAAATGGGCTTCACACATTGTACCCATGTCGGGAATCGAACCCGGGTCTTCGACGTGACGAGCGAACGCTTTAACCATTAGGCTACCCGACCGCCCCCATACTTGAGTGAAATACTGAGAGATTGATTTGAGCCTGCTACGCCGAGTTGGTACTGCTATCCCGCTGAGATCCCATGCCCGCAGTTTAACATTGATACCGCACTCATATCAGATACAGTATACTGACTCCGAGCCGACCTGTTTTATCCCCATCTTAAAACGTCTTTTGGTATGACCTGGCCGGGGGTGGGACCACTGTCACTCCGCTCACCGGGCAGACGAGTGAGTGAGTGAGTGAGTATGGGTTTACGCCGCTTTTTGCAATATTCCAGCAATATCACCGCGGGGGGGGGGGGGGGGGACCAGAAATGGGCTTCACACATGTCGGGAATCGAACCCGGGTCTTCGGCGTGACGAGCGAACGCTTTAACCACTAGGCTACCCGACCGCACCGCACCCCCCCCCCCCCCCCCCCCCCGGGCGGACGAATATAGCATCAATGCATTGTCGAGGTGCTCAGACCTTCACCACTGACCCTCAATAAAACCTCACATGTCAAGAATGCACCTCTCTATGTTTGTTATTTACGCGGCACTCCGGCAATATGACCGCCATATCACGGCGGTCTCTAAATAATCCAGCCGGGACCACGCAAGTAAGTGATTGACATTATGAGCATCGATCAACCTAATTGGGATATTACGCCTCTTACGTTGGATGGCCCAGTTGCCAAGATTCGAGGTACAGTTGCGTCGTTTAGACAAACAGGATCCGCTGATAGCGAGTTCGAAGCCCAGATTTGTCATGGTCATGAGTGAAAGTTTTCAACTGTATTTCCGTGCTTGTGGATTTCACCCGCCTACGACCTTCATCACTTCTTTCATTCAGCACTAAACTTATGCGCCGTAAAAGAACTGTTATACTTTCCAAAGCAGCGTTCAAGCAATATCACCCATTCATTTGATATTAACAGGAGTCATTGCGCAGATATACCTGTATTTCAGAACGAGCTAAGCGTGATACTGCTCTACATCTCGGGCTACGCAGCCTCACTGGTCCTCTGCCTCATCAGCATTGTCGTCTTCAACCTGTTCAGGTGAGCTTTAGTTCGAGTCGACTTTATATAATTTAAAATTTAAACCATACATTTATATACCGCAGGTATGCAGGTACTAGTATCTGCTCAAATGCGGTTTTATTTTCTCCCCGACCATTGGATCCGTTTGCATTCCAGTTGTCATTCTCAACTCCCTGGGGAGTATACAACCCAAGCTGCCCTGGGGCGCTAGAAGGTTTTTACATTCACCTCACATATCGCGATCGGGTACCCGTTTCCTGCTGGGTGAACAGAGGCACATTTAAACTAAGTCACTTGCCCAGGTGATACCACGGGTTTTGACACTTGTGTTTCTGGTAGATGCACGTATTCGAGTTTCCACCATCTGGTCATCTGCCATCGGACGAGTGGGTTCTTTTGAGTGCACAGGGTGTATGTACTGTACGCTAGGGGCAGTGGCGACACTGTAAAGACCTGTAAACATTGTAGGTCCCGAGGCTGAATAACAACCTGGTGACGAGCAGGATACGATCTCAGCACCTGGCGCTTGCTAGCATGGCGCATTTGACCGCTTGCCCACTCTTGTCTGTTTGTTGCAATTACCTCTCTGTTCACCATTATTATAAATTGTAGGCTTATCACGAGGGGAGTACAGTTTGATGTATCGTACGGTACACGGCAACACATGCGGTACATCAAACCGATACCCAATGGGATAAGCCGAAAATATATCTTACCCGCATGTTTATCATTACCGCAATTTAGAAACATTTAGAAACAAACGGAGAATGATATGAGAAACGTCTTTTTGCCAGATTGACAGATGCCTTTTGTTTATCTTTAGGCTCTGTGTATCACGTACATCTAAAATCAATGTTAATATACATTACGCGGCGCAATTTCTCTGTAAGGAGCTTGGATCGGAGAGATGGGACAGAGAAATGTATGTTTGTTGCCAGGACGTGGCGTGGTGCATGGAAGTTTATCGAATCGTCATTTACCAACTATGTTCTTGTATTATACATGTAAGGGAAGATACAGATTGAGTTATGACACTTTCATCGTGACGTCCCTCACAGATATACCCCTTCATTATAACATATCATTTTGCACGTCAACGTCCAAGAATAATCAATCTCGGTTATTTACCAAAAATATTCCATTGGGCGTGAAAGGCAAAATAATTATGAAAATTATATAAATGGATCACTGAAAATCAAAATCAGCATTACACAAGCAATAACGGAGTTTGTCATATGTCTTGATTCGCCACTCACACAAGCAATAACGGAGTTTGTCATACGTCTTGAGTTAAACTGCTAAACAGCTGTGGGGGTAAAGTTGCCTCCCTTAGGTACCAGGATCCGCTTCGCGTTAATCTGAGTTTGCCTCCGATCTCTGCCCATGGTCGTAGGTTGCATCAAAGAGGTAACCGTCTGTGACCTGCGCCACTTTGGTCTTTCCTCCGGTATCCCATAATGACATGCTAAACCCACTCAGTCACTCACTCATTTCAAATATAACATCACCTACAGACAGCTGAAGTGCAACCGAGTGACCCTCCATCAGCATCTGTTTGTGTCGTACATCCTGACGGGGTTGCTGTGGATCATCAACTACACCGAGGTGGCCATGAAGCAAGCCGTCATCCAAGACAACCCGGTAAGTCCAACATCCGTGTTCACAGACCTGTGAGGATCCGGGTTAGAAGAGGTCTTCAGCAACCCATGCTTGCCGTAGGAAGCGACTAACGGGATAGGGTGGTCAGGCGCGATGACTTGGTTGATGCATGTCATCGTATCCCATTTGTGTAGATCGATGCTTATGATGTCAATCACTTGATTGTCTGGTCCAGACTCGATTATTTACAGACCAAAGTCATATAGCTGTTATATTGCTGAGTGGGGCGTTAAACAGCAAACAAACAAACCAAGTCCACAAGTCACATGTGCACACTCATCGAAGACTGAAACATTTAACCTTAGACTTTGTACTATATAAAGCTATAAAGGTCGTTTTAGTGAGACTGGACTCAGTATACTACATGGTGTTTCGTTCGTGTATACAGATATTTTGAAGACGTTCCTCGTTATCAAACACCAGTCCTTGAATCATCCAAAGTGTTTTTTTACTTGTCATTTCTGGGGAAGTGTTGATGGCAGCTTTTCACTGTTGAGTTGTCACCTTTAAAAGTTGTCTTATAACTTACCTGTCTCTGTTTAACTCTGTTGGAATTAATTTAAAAAATGAACAATCTTAAAATCAGATCTCAGTGCTCGCTATCGCTACACAAAGATCTGAGGACATTCCAATACAGGTCACGTCACTTTCACTTTGACCAACCAATGAAATGACTAACAGGAAGTCGACATTAACCAATCAGAAGCAGCTTCATCTAGCTTTACGGATTTAGTTTCAAACTGGCGACTTTTGTATGTATTTTGTTATTGACTCAAAATTTGATAACTGAGCAAACGAAAATTCTGAAATGTCAAATAGATGGCTGAGATTGTATGGCAGTACTTTCCGCGGGCTATGGGAAGTCCCTTCTGTATCAAATGCTTATCCATTGAAAGGCGAGAAAGACGATAGCTACGCGAGTACACGATGTGTGACTGTTAACCTTTGATAAATGGACGGGGGCACGGGTGGCCGAGTCGTCTAAGGCGCCGCGATTCGCTGCGCAGAGTTGCATCCCTTGGGCACGCCAGAAACCTATGATTGTGGGTTCGAATCCCCGTTCGCTCCGATTATGTTTCTAGATTTGTCAGCACCGTACCCGTGCTCGTGGGTTTCACTGAAGTGGTAAGGTCTAAGACCTGCATCTTCGGAATTTCCTCCCACATTAAGATGACACGCTGTGATATAACTGGAATACTGTCAAAAGCGGCGTTAAACCCAGCTGACTCACTTCCTCACTTGCCTTTGCAGCTAGCGTAAACTAGTGACGTCTTAAAGTCTATTAGGTTTAATAAAAACGTCTTTTTGAGTGTTTACATGATAAGTATTTAATGCGGAATACAAACCAGTTGACTCAGATCACCCAATGTAGCAAAGCAATTGCAAGATAGAATTTCGAATTTGAAATATTGAATGTGTTTAAAATTAATGCTTTTAATGTTTAAATACAGTATGATATACAAGAACACTGGCACGTTACTTTTCTCCTTCAAAGTATCTGGCAAGGGCAGTAGACTACATGTAAGTCATACATCGTTAACTTCAAGCTTCGAATAATCACACATTTGTTTCTTAATGGCATGTAACGATACGATTCGCTCTCCCCTGTGCCCTTCTCAGTCAAGGAAACCTTTAAATACTCTATAAATATTCCCCACGGTCCATCATGTTTACATAGGCCAGTTTATGGGATTTCCCGGAGGGAACTTCACTCTCAGCGTATAAAGGAGTTTATTTTGTGTGTTGGCCCGTGGCCACATCCAGCGTTTCATGTTGGCATGCCGCTGGCATGTATACATATTTCGTTATTGCAGGCCGCATGCGGAACATTTCCAAGATTGATTTTTATGGTTCAAAAGAATTTCTCATTTTTTCGTCTTGTGGACTTTAGAAGGAGGTTGTTTTTTAGCCAAGGAGGTAGAAAATACAGCCAATCAGATAAACATGTATGGAAATAGAGGCCAGAGTCTATTGTTCGATTCCGAGCACGTGTTTATGAATCAAAATTATCGGTTCAATCTTTACGCAAGCCCATTAGGACTATATTGGTATTTTTTTCTCCTTTAAAAGTCGTAATTACGAGAATAAAGTTGTAAGTACGTGAAAAAAGTAGTTATTACGAGAAAAAATAGTTATAATAAGATTCTATCTATTGCTTTGTCAATATATTACTGTGATTTTCATCATCATTGTGAAAGTCGTAATTACGACTTTTTTCTCGTAATTACGAGCTTTGAAAAGTAATTACGAGATGGGCTATGAACCAAATCATAGTACCAAACATCTTAAAATACATAGGCGTTACAAGCGATGGGTGATGAAAACAATAATAAATCATCATATGATGACACCAATTTGACGAAGTGTTTTCGTCATCTAACCATTATTCTTTAAATACGAAACGTCAAATCACACCAGCTTCTTGCGTTATGTCATACGTTTGCATTGTGAAATTGCAAGGTTAGCTTTGAATGATTGGTTGGTTGGTTTGTTTATTTAACGCCGCACTCAGCAATATTCCAGCTATATGACGGCAGTCTGTAAATAATCGAGTCTGGACCAGACAATCCAGCGATTAATATCATGAGCATCGATCCACGCAATTGGGATCGATGACATGCATCAACCAAGTCAGCGAGCCTGAACACCCGATCCCGTAAGTCGCCTTTTACGACAAGCATAGTCGCCTTTTACGGCAAGCATGGGTTGCTGAAGACCTATTCTACCCCGGAATCTTCACGGGTCTAGCTTTGAATGTACAAATTATATCTATATGTGACAACTGGTATCACCTTGCAGGTGTGGTGTCGTGTGTTGCACGTGTTCACGCAGTACATAACCATATGCAACTACTTCTGGATGCTTTGCGAGGGCTTCTATCTCCACACACTCATCGCCCTCGCCTTCACCAAGGAGAAGAAGCTGTTGTGGATTTGCATCATATTTGGCTGGGGTAGGTCACAGAGTGAGTGAGTGAGTGAGTGAGTGAGTTGGGTTCAACGCTGCTTTTAACATTAATCCAGTTATATCATGGCGTGTCGGCTTAATTTAGATGTTTACCACTTTGATGAAACCCACGTGTAGGGTATGGTGATGACAAAACCAGAAACGTAATCGGGTCGAACAGGGATTCGAACCCAGGATCATAGGTTTCTGTCGTGCCAAAGTGCATGTATTAAAACCATCGAGACACGACGTATGTAATTGCTATACAACTGCCGCCTTAATTGTGTGTGTGTATACAAAAGGTTAAAGTGGACAAGTGGTTACAATAGATCACACGACAAGACAAGCTCAGCTAACATGCACACTAGGCACATGCAGCACATTCAAATATTTTTGAAGGATAAACACTAATGTGAAATAATACCTTCTTTAGGTCTATTTTCACACATACAACAGGATGCTTTGACAACTCTTCAATATGAAACAAAAGGCTCTGCCTTTAATAAGTTGGATGACATTTACTCGTAGATCGTCAATGCTTTCTCGATGTTTCAACGAAAGAAATTCCATTGGCGTAAAAGGCAAGATTGCGGTGAAAATAATATGAATAGATCACTGAAAATCAGTGAATGCGCGGGGTGTCCATGCTTTCAGTGAGTGAGTGAGTGAGTATGGTTTTACGCCGCTTTTAGCAATATTCCAGCAATATCACCGCGGGGGACACCAGAAATGGGCTTCACACATTGTACATGTTTACAGTGAGTTCAGCTCAGTAAAGTTTAGTGTCACCAATATGACCTTTTTCATTTAATCGAGACATTTTCTTGAGCGTTCGTCGTCACACCGAAGACCTGGGTTCGACTTCCCACATGGGTACAATGTGTGACGTTGTCCCTAGCCGTGATATTGCAGGAATATCGCTAAAAGCGGCGTAAAACAATACTCACTCACTCACAGTGAGTACATACATTCTTAGCGTACATACTTCTCTATATGTTTCTTTTGGCAGTGAGTATATTACGTGTAATTCGTATGGAATAAAAAGTTATGGCTACCACTATGTACAATGCTATACTAAATGCTATCAAACCCTTTTATTTCAGTTTTCCCAATATTTCCAACTTTAATATATGCGTGCCTTCGTGGAACCAGTGATGTTGACAACGTCAAGTAAGTGCATTCGCCTCCATTCAGAACCACTCGTGTCACTTCAGAAACAAGCCGAATGACGACTCGTGCGCTGCTCATGGCCATGTGTAGCTCACCTGACTGAAAACAAGTCTTATGTTGGAGCCTGTTTGTTCGGCATGAGGTATAAACATTTTCTCCTCAGAAACCACTAGTGCTGTACCAATTTGACTGAAACTACATACTTCTTCTAACCAATGTCGACAACTCAATTTGTTCAAAAGGTTCTTGTCCCATTTATATGTGACCGCCACAGCAGCCACATTGAAAATGCAAGTTATGGTTTGGTCTTTTAAAATACAATATTTTCCAAATTTTCGGAGTTATTTTTGCAAAATTTAAAAACGTAACCTTTGCTGAACGTTTCCCTTTTGACCTTGCTTTTAAATTGTCTCAAAATGATTATTTGACAGACTGAAGGGAAGAACTTTGGTATGTATGGTTCTGATGATGATGATGACGTCATATTTTGTTCAAATCATTAAAAAAATCATTTGTTTTCTCACTATTCTGCTGAAAGTTTTTTTTAATGTCAATGCGGCTGAGTTTGGTTTACATATCCAGGTGAGCTACAGTGTCGCTTGGTATCATCTTCGAGCAAACGGATGAAGCGAAACTAATCGTCAATGTGTTGCACGACTTCCATCAACAAAAGATTAGATACATGTCAATAAAACTAAGGAGGAATTCGTGATCCAGTACCTATAATCAAACGCACGTTGTGGTCGGTTCGTCGTGTTGTCGCGCACAATATTGATCGCTAGGGAGACGAGGTGTCTTGCAGGGTAGTGGTGAGAAGTGACGAATGTGTCCGCCACCTGATCATGAAGCTCACTGTAGGTTAAGTGTTGCTGTCCGTTGGCTGACTATCCACTGGTGATCATAACTGGGCTGGGGAATTATTCTGAAGACGTAACCGCATTGACAAAGGGATCAGATTTGGTTGTCAACAAATTATAGGACAAACTCTTTCCGTAATCATTCGAAATCTCTGCTAAAATCAAAGTCCATTGTACGATGCCTAATATATCGTAAGCGTGTCTGGCGATACATACCAACCATGCACGTTGTGTCGATGGCGGGTGCTGTCGGCAGGGCAGGTCAATGCTGACCATTTTCGCGAACACCTGGTCTCATCACTAATTTTCAGTGGTCCATTCATATAATTTCCACAGCTATTTGCCCTATAAGCCAAGGGTGGAATCTGTTTCGGCAGAAAATCTAGGCTGGTTCTTCTCTTGCATAGATCATTTAAATTTTGAGTCACTGTTAGGTAGTCATGATACCAGGTGTTCGCTAAAAAGGCGGGGATATCCTGCCCTTCCAGAGGCACACGTCACAAACACATGCAGAGGCGAATCAATTGTTCACCTGAAAAAAAATCCCGATATGTTACAAGTCAAACTAGGAAATTGCATTTGATGTTATTTTTTTGTCCCTGATGAGTCAGAATATAGAAACGTCTTCCACATGACTTCCGTTAAACCTTTAAAAAGTGTTACTGAGGCCTTGAATAGTGTAAACCCTGATCGAACACCTTTTGAGCAAGAGTCGTATGACACTCATTGAAATTACTTCGCTAAAGTCTGGCAACGAACCCGGGACCTTCCACACTTCGGGCAGGCGCTCTACCACTTGACCACGGAAGCCATCCGTCTCTTACGACAAGCATATAGTCGCCTCCTACGACACGTTTTAAAGTGAATTTCCTTTTTCAGGTGCTGGTTATTCGAGTCCTCGATGATGTGGGCTGTGATTGGTCCTGTAGTGCTCTCCTTGGTGGTGGGTATCCTTTATACACAAACATACATCTTAGTGAGTTAGGGTGTGTGGGAGGACACGGGTGGCCCAGTCGTCTAAGGCGCCGCGATTCGCTGTGCAGAGTTGCGTCCCTTGGGCACGCCAGAAACCTATGATTGTGGGTTCGAATCCCGGTTCGCCCCAGTTATGTTTCTAGGTTTGTCAGCACCATACCCGTGCTCGTGGGTTTCACCGAAGTGGTAAACGTCTTAGACCTGCATCACTTCGGGCTTTCCTCCCACATTAAGCTGACACGCCGCGATATAACTGGAATACTGTTAAAAGCGGCGTTAAACCCAACTCACTCACTCACTCACTCCACTTTCATGCATATTCATCATGCACATACGTCATACATACCATTCATAAATTACCCAGTCATGGTATACATGCATTTCTTTAATATACGTCATAAATTACACAATTGACTTGCCTTTGCATGCGTTTGATCCGCGTGCGGTGGGTGACAATGATTCATGGGCACATACTCATGACGTTGTCGAATAGCACAAAATGTACGATTTCCTGCTGCTTGTATTTACTGCAATTTATATACATGATGTACATATACACGACATACGTGTTTAAATGTACATATATACGAGGGACGTTCAATAAGTTTTGCAACTTCAATATAAGACCAAGTCGCAGAATATCTTTTGCACTTTTATTTTTCAATATAATCTCCATTCACCTCAATACACTTATTCCATTTGCCCTTCAAGCTTTTAATACCACTTTTATAGAAATCCGCAGATTGGGCCTCTTACCACGCCTCTTTATGTCCTCGTCACAATAGTCACTGGGGGCTAAGCCTGGGCTGTACAGTTAAATCACCCACCCTACAGCCCAGACTTAGCCCCTAGTGACTATTTCTTGTTCCGGCAAAAGAAAGCTGCCCTACGTTGAAGACGCTTCCAGGATGACGAGGACATAAAGGCCGCCAAAGAGGCGTGGTTAGAGGGCCAATCTGCGGATTTCTATAAAAGTGGTATTAAAAGCTTGAAGGACAAATGGAATAAGTTCATTGAGGTGAATGGAGATTATATTGAAAAATAAAAGTACAAAGATATTCTGCGACTTGGTCTCATATTGAAGTTGCAGAACTTATTGAACGTCCCTCGTATATATATGCTGATATTAGAGGTCTTAAGTAAACGACTGTATGTCATCGACCGCAGTATGTCCTATATCTAGGACCTGTAAAATTGATTCCAAAGATAGTTCAGTACATTTATTCAGTTTAGAAACCGTTTCCGCTTTTGACATTTACAGTCAAGTATTACAGTCGTCCACGGTGCTTCAGTTGTTATCAAACACAGATGTCGTAAACGTTGATCTGAGAGTCTTCTTTCACATCCATAAGCCCCTGATCAATACCTCGCCTATTGATGGAATGAAGCACGCCGATCTAGCTGGGATTACAGCGGAAGGACTTCTTTACTAACTCATCAATCAGAAAGGAACCAAAATGATAGAGACACTATAGAAAGAGATATCTAATTAACCGCTGAAGTAATGGTGATTAAATTTGTTTGGGGGCTCTAGATTTATCCTATTATTTTGTTCCAAAAGTTCAGACTTTACAGATACTAATCCCCAGTGAATGAGACGATGTTTTCAGTTTCACTAGCAAGGATGCTGTGTCCTCGTTACGAGCCAATTTAGCAAGAATTTTGCAGAAAAAAAATTAAATTGAAAATCAAATTTATCTCGAGGAGACCGCGAGTCCAGCGATAAGGTGATAGTTTTAAAAGTCAGCTCCTTCAAACATTGAGGATCCGTGATACTGATTCTTAATGTTTTACGTTTACAAATCTGTTTAGCTTTCATTACCCAATGGCTTTGGGACAGTATCTTTATTTAAGATCGTAAGCAAAAGTTGGAACAAGTTTGAATACTTGATATCTTTTATCAGACAATATGTTATCTGTGTGATTTTGTTGTCATTTATTCTTACTGATAGGTCACTTTATATCTCATCTGTAAACAATTGAAAAGATTATAAAACAAAGTGAGTTTTTTAACTTTTCCATGATAAAGTTAGTTATTGCTTTTCATTGATCATGAATGTGCAATGGCCACCAATACAGAGTTTTCAATTCATCCCAATTTCATTTCAGGTCAATCTTTCATTTCTGGTGAATATTCTACGTATCCTTTGTTCCAAACTACGTGCCTTCAACTCAAGTGAAAACCACCAGAATAGGTACGTCATGTCGCCTTTTATTTGCTCGTTTTTCATATCGTCTAGCAACCAGTGATTCTGTAAACCTCTTAATATACTCAATATTTCTAAAAGCTTGGAATGTACTAAATCACTTTTTTAATTATTTTTTTTATTTTAACGCCTCACTCAGCAATATTCCAGTTGTATGACGGCGGTAAAATAATCAAGTCAGGAGCATGCAATCCGGTGATTAATATTGCGAGCATCAGGGTACGATGATACGAAATCAACCGAACCAGATAACGCGATCCATTTGCTTGCCTCTTACGACCAGCATAGGTTGCTGTTGACCAGTTCTAAACCGGAATCCCCCTCTAGTGTGTTCTGTCTTGTGCTGTCATTGAAGTGTTTCAAGATCGGCTCCTAACGATATGATGGAATCATGTTCGGGTGCGATGATAACATCATCATAGTGTCCACCATGTGACAAGAGGGATGACTTCAACTATTCAAATATAATAGGTCCCGTTATGTCGAGCTCCAGACTTGTGTTTCTACATTTCACAACTTATGAAATACAATGAAGCGTGGTCTTTCAACGACTCTTACACAAGATGTGTTTGATAAGGGTACAGGGCCTTAGTAAAGCTTTCAAAAGTATTATGGTAGACATGTGGAGGACATTTCAAAATAAGTACGAAATGATGTACGGGCGATGACTGATATAGCTCGCATAACAGATGTGGGATATCCATACTTATCACAGTCTCGAAGGAGCGATCGGTGGCGAATGTTCCGATAACTGATTCGTGGCCAAATTCAAAGCCCAGTTATAACCAGTAAGGTCAACACGATTAAAACAACATGTCTTTTTCATACAATGATCAAACCATTTTGTGGTTTTTTCGGATTCGTTGATGCCAAATCCAAATTTGTTTTTTTAATCATTGTAGCGGTTTTATGGCTTGTTTGAAAAGCCATATACGAGGAAGATGACAGCTTAAAGACTGAACCATACGACTGACAGAGCACCAGACACTGGGTCGCTGCAGAATGTTTCATAACTTGATAATTTGATCACAGAACTAAGAGGAATTCCGTACAATCTTCCACAGAGAATGAGTGGTGTTCGCAAGTATGGTGAAGGAGAAAATAGAGATATGAAATGTGAACATTACACGGAAAAATACAAGCGACGAAACTCTTTCCATATTCGCAAGAACAGAAATCTGCGTTGTATTATGAAATGAAATAGAACTGTTAACTTAATGTAGCCTTTTATTAAGTTATGAAAATGTGTATATAAAATTATAATGTATATGAACCATAACAGTTATCTTTATCAAATATAATAAATAAATGTTTGTAGATACGTTTAAGCGACAAATCCAATTCCCCATTTATCACAAATTTCTGCCAAAAAGAGACGCGTTTGTTGGCGAAAATGTTCCCGTATCCTGTCCCACCAGTGGCAACCGTCACAAACACATGCAAAGGCATGTCATATGTTTGGTTGAAAAAGGATACGGGAACATTTAGTACAAGTCAGAATGGGGAATTGCATCTGACACCATTTCTTATCATCCAAAACTGGCTCCCACAGGAGATATGGCTTGGATGAAATCAAGCGATATCTACACTGTATATATCGCTGCAATGAAATTACATCACAATGCTTTGCAGACCATTGTGACATCACTGGTTACCATGACGTCACAATCAAATGACATCACTAATGACTCTGCTACTGAAGCTGTTAGCAGTACTTTTTACACTGAAGACACTGCTAATTACTGTCTACTAATTGAAAAAGTTGAAAGAATGATGTTGGATGATAAATACAATCTCACCCTCGTGAGTTTTGATATCAAATATATCAACACTCGTTGATAAAAGTGGCAAAAATCCTCGGCAAGCCTCGGAATTTTTCCACTTTTATCAACTCGTGTTGATATATTTGATATCAAAAGACACTCGGGTGAGATTCTCTATTTGTCACTAATGCGTCAAACTTACAATTGGAAATGCCCTCCACATGTCTACCATAAAACGTTTTGAAAGCTTTACTCATTCGATGTTGTAACCTTATCAAATAACTTCTGTGTAAGAGTCGTACGGCGCTCTTTTAAATCGTGGAGGAAAAAGCATCCCCGATTGGCCTTAAAAGTTGTGAAATGTAGACTCCAAGAGCTGGAGCTGCAGGAATATTGCTCCACATAAAGATAAAGTTGACTGTTGGAAAGTTGAAGCCATCCCTCTTGTCATACAGTCTTGTGGAGAGTTCTGTGTCAATAAATAGTAATGATGATAAACGTGGCAAGGTAGAAGAGGTAGGATCAGTCAGTTTACTTGGAAGAGGAGTTATTGACTATCTCTTTGAAGGTCAGGCCTATACGTACTTAGGGATGAAGATTAGGGATGAACTCCAGAATGCCAATTTCAAGGACAAACTTCCGGCAGAGTACAAATGTGGACTTAAGAAAATCTAGAGTTCAGAGCTGAACGCTCGCAACAAAGTAAAAGCCACAAATACTTATGCTGTACCCGTCCTTTCATATTTTTTGGTGTTGTTGATTGGACAAAACAAGAAATTCAGGGTACTGACACCCCCACACGAAGAATCATGTCAGACAATAGATCCAACCACCACCGCTCGTCCCTCAATCGCTTATATTTACCAATCATTATGGGAGGACGTGGTTTGATTAACGTTGGGGCTCTTCATGATAGAATTGTTTTGTGCACTAATGCACAGTCACATTTATTTGTCTGATGATCCTCTTGTGAAGCATGTCAAGACTCATGATGAAAACAAGGCATTCCACTATTTCTAAAACGAGCCAAGGATGTCGGTGTTGGTTTTGTTGATGATTCTGTACTGCTGGACGGTACAGAAATGAGTGTCAACCAAGCGAAGTGCCATATCAAGTCGGTCCAGACTCTGAACGACCATTGTTTCGAGTTTATGAGCAGTGTGTTGAGAAGATCACCAATCCTGCAGAGTCCTTCGCTTGGATAAAGTCGTCTGGCCTGAAAAGTGAAACTGAAGGCTTTCTGTTCGCTGCTCAGGACCAGTCACTTCCCACTCGAAACCGTCAATGTGTGATTTTGCATCAAAATGTAAATATGAAACGTAGATTATGTCTTCACATTCTCCGAAAAGTTCTGGGTGGGTTTGACTAGGCAGCGCTTCCTGGGAGAAGTCCCATTCGTTGTCTGGACTGCGTGTAAAGGGGCCAAGGGCCCTGAGCTGATGATGAGCCTCACCAGCCTGACTGTGCCAGGATCACCCAAACCCTCTTTGCTGTATTTTTATTTTAATAATAATAATAATAATAATAATAATAATAATAATAATTCATGGTCAGTTTTTTTTCTCCACAGACGTGCTGTGCGGGCCATCTTGATCCTCATCCCCCTCCTTGGCCTCCAATACTTTGTCATCCCCTTCAGGCCAAACAGCGGACCCAGGCCTGTCTACATCTTCAATATGGTCTCAGCGTTCCTCGTCTCCTATCAGGTACAGACGAACCCGCCAGCCTATCTCACGTAGGTGGTAAAGTGTTGTACCATGTTGTACCACCTGGTACAAACAAAGATGCAGAAGGAACAGACAAACCCGCCAGCCTATCTCACGTAGGTGGTAAAGTGTTGTACCATGTTGTACCACCTGGTACAGACAAAGATGCAGAAGGAACAGACAAACCCGCCAGCCTATCTCACGTAGGTGGTAAAGTGTTGTACCATGTTGTACCACCTGGTACAGACAAAGATGCAGAAGGAACAGACAAACCCGCCAGCCTATCTCACGTAGGTGGTAAAGTGTTGTACCATGTTGTACCACCTGGTACAGACAAAGATGCAGAAGGACAGACAAACCCGCTTGCACAAACATGTCGGTCAAGATGGCCTACGTCTACTGCATGTAATGAGGGACGTGGGTGGCCCAGTCGTCTCATGCCCCGCAATTGGCCCTTTGGCACGCCAGTAACCTATGATTGTGGTTCGAATCCATGTTCGTCCCTATTATGTTTCTAGGTTTGTCAGCACCATACCCGTACTCGTTGGTTCCACCAAAATGGTAAATGTCTGAGACCTGCATCACTTCGGGCTTTCATCCCACATTAAGCTGACATGCTGTGAAATTACTGGATTAATGGAATTACTGGAATACTGGCCGTGTCAGTCCCATTAAGTTGCAAGTTTGGTTTGGAAAGAAATTATATTTATCTCGTTCCATAAAGCAATATTAGTGGTAAACGTCTGAGGCCTGCATCACTTCGTGCTTTCCTCCCACATCAAGCCGGCACGCCGTGAAATAACTGGAATACTGTTCAAAGAGGCGTTAAACTGTAGACGACTTGGCCCTCTTATAGACTACAGAATACCTACATACTATCTGCGCTGCGGTGCGTTTCTTCCCCGTTAGAGATAATTTCGTGATGATATGTGCTTTTAAAACATTGAGTATCTACATAATTATCATAGCATGGCTTTTCGTATTGTCAGTATTTCTATAATGATTATTTTGACGACGGATGCTTTTCAAAAATAAAACAAGATCCGAAATATTATTTTTCAAATAACAAACAGTGTTTAAATTTACGTATAATTTAATTCCTAATCATTTAATATTTCAAATCCAAATACCATAAGACTTGGCAAAGTCTCTGCAGCCCGTTACTACCACGGAGTGCTTACAACACCGGGCACAGAATTTCCCAATGCTTCGAAATGTAGTGTCAAATGATGTCTTATGGTTCGGTTACAAAGACATTATTTATGGGATGGGACAAATTTATATACCGTCTTAATTTAACTGTGTCGTAAACAGTGTCGCAGTTCAGAATGATGTAAGTTAATTCATCATGTCTAGACAGAGATGCTGGTAATCTATATTCATAAATTTTGCATGTATTGCCTGTGAATTATAAACAGAATGGACATTTCTAAATGTATCATTTCTTTTCACAGGGCGTCTTTGTAGCGCTAATTTTCTGCTTCTTCAATGGGGAGGTAAAGTATAAAAAACATTGACTTCACATCTTACCTTTTTTCTTGCATCGTCATTCAGTCTCTGGGCCAACCAACATCTTCAATATGACCTTTAACACACTCTATTATTAATCAGAACAAAATGAAATATTGAAATATCTCATATACTTAAGCCGTTTACATTTTCATTTTTGATTCAAAATTATGTTCAGATAATTGTTAATTCAGTTTGTGACGCTACACAACTAAATACGTGTTTTGGGGGATACATTTGCCATTAAGAGCCGATAATAGCCTCTAAACAGTTGGTACGACGCAAAACAGTAGTCTCTCATATAGGGTCGTGTATTAACGAATGCTGCTGTGAACTATTTTAGGTGATGACGGTGCTCCGCCGGAAGTGGAATCAGGTACGCCATAACTATGATCCGGGCTACTCGGAGAGACGGCGCAGTCTCACAAACACCACTGCCGTACCGTGGGAGGAAAGCACAGTCGCCATGCCACCACTGATCAAAAACGGTAGTGGCCGCTCCTCCTCAAGGCACTATGCCACTAAATCACAGGTTAATTTGTGCAAAGATAATTATGTCCCTCTCAGCATGTTCACCAATATAGAAAACCCAAATACACATATAATGATAATAAAATAAAATTTAATAATTGATAGAAGTATCTGCTATAAAAAGTACAATTTGCGATTTAGACTATATCATAAACATGTGTTTATGAATCACAATTAAGTGATTCTACCAAGTGTTCGCGAAATAGAGAGAGAATCCTGCCTCACCCGTGGCACTTCACGCAAACACATGCAAAGGCACGTCAATTTGCTTATTTGTACATATGCTAGGAACACGGGAACGGAAACACACGGTAAAGTCAAAATAAGGAATTGTATCTGACATTATTTTGGTCACTGATGCCTCACATTTTGAAACGCCCTCCATATGTCTATTATTGAACTTTTTGAAAGATTTACCGTGACCTTTATTACGTTAAAAACGGTATCACAAATGGCTTAATGAAACTCAATAAGTGTCCTTTTCGAATGTTACTAATAACTGAATACTGGTACATGAAACTAACCACGGAATCAGTGCTTCTGTGCAAATTCCGTTATTACCGATTGTTGCTATTCATGGATCTCCGATATTACCGATTATTGCTCTCTGTGGAACTCCGTTATTACTGATTATGCTATCTGTAGGGCTCCGTTATTACTGATTATTGCTATCTGTGGAACTCCGTTATTACCGATTATTGCTTTATGTGGAACTCTGTTATTACCGATTATTGCTATCTGTGGAACTCCGGCATTACCGTTTATTGCTATCTGTGGAACTTCAGTATTACCGATTATTGCTATCTGTGGAACTCCGTTATAACCGATTATTGCTATCTGTGGGGCTCCGTTATTACTGATTATTGCTATCTGTGGATCTCGGTTAATACCGATTATTGATATCTGTGGATCTCCGTTTTTACCGATTATTGCTATCTATGGAACTCCGTTATTACCGATTATTGCTCTCTGTGGAACTCCGTTATTACCGATTATTGCTATCTGTGGAACTCCGTTATTACCGATTATTGCTATCTGTGGAACTCCGTTATTACCGATTATTGCTATCTATGGAACTCCGTTATTACTGATTATTACTATCTATGGAGCTCCGTTATTACCGATTATTGCTATCTGTGGAACTCCGTTATTACTGATTATTACTATCTATGGAGCTCCGTTATTACCGATTATTGCTTCCCGTGGATCTCCGCTATTACCGATTATTGCTATCTGTGGAACTCCATTATTACCGATTATTGCTATCTGTGGAACTCCGGCATTACCGTTTATTGCTTTATGTGGATCTCAAGTATGACCGAATATTGGTATATGTGGATATTCAGTATTACCGATTATTGCTATCTGCGGAACTCCGTTATAACCGATTATTGCTATCTGTGGGGCTCCGTTATTACCGATTATTGCTTTATGTGGAACTCTGTTATTACCGATTATTGCTATCTGTGGAGCTCCGACATTACCGTTTATTGCTATCTGTGGAACTTCAGTATTACCGATTATTGCTATCTGTGGAGCTCCGTAATAACCGATTATTGCTATCTGTGGGGCTCCGTTATTACTGATTATTGCTATCTGTGGATCTCCGTTATTACCGATTATTGATATCTGTGGAACTCCGTTATTACCGATTATTGCTATCTATGGAGCTCCGTTATTACCGATTATTGCTCTCTGTGGAACTCCGTTATTACCGATTATTGCTATCTGTGGAACTCCGTTATTACCGATTATTGCTATCTGTGGAACTCCGTTATTACCGATTATTGCTATCTGTGGAACTCCGTTATTACTGATTATTACTATCTATGGTGCTCCGTTATTACCGATTATTGCTTCCCGTGGAACTCCGTTATTACCGATTATTGCTCTCTGTGGAACAGCGGTATTACCGATTATTGCTATCTGTGGAACTTCAGTATTACCGATTATTGATATCTGTGGAGCTCCGACGGTTTATGGGCGGAAGCCCGTTATTATCGACTTAATCAACTATTGCTCTCAGTGAAACACGCTTTGTGACGGGAAACACTAACGTTTAGCCCTTAACGATACCACTGAATTAAAAACTCAACAGTATTGAAGTGTGCATGAAACAAGTGACGATAATACCCCCGCTGTTGCAGCAAACAGCAGTTGGCCAGTGGTTATTGATAATATTTCCTGACATTTTAAATGGATAACAACGATGGCAAAAAGGTATTTGTTCCATTAACATAATTCGATAAGAATACAAGGTTACAAATCGTAGTCATCACTGTAAGTTCTTTATATGTGTATTTGAGCTAATTGATTCACAAGCATGCCTCTCTTCAACACACATCTGAATGACTGACCACGTGACTGCATGATCCAATCAGCTGCTTAGTCTGACCAGCTGATGCATATGCATGCAGTGTCGTTCAGCTGTGACCACCAGCAGTGGCTGTGCACAAAGCAAGACTAGTACCTCTAGCATCTTCTAGCATTCCTTTCCAATCACCGCATGATGTCATTCTTTATTGACAATCCCGTCAGTTACGAATGGTCTTTGACTAAGTGCAATGTCTGTCCACACTGCCTTATGATGTTCCAGTAGATGTTCCAGTAGATGTTCCAGTAGATGTTTCAGTACTTAGTGTTCAATTTGTCCTTATTCACATGTGTTGCGGTTGGGTGACATTGTTGTTAAACCGCTCGCCTGTCCCGCCGAGGGCTCGTGTTCGTTTCCCCAAACGGGTACGATTTTTAAAGCATAGAGAGTGAGTCGGGTTTAACGCCGCTTTTAACAGTATTCCAGTTATATCACAGCGTGTCAGCTTAATGTGGGAGGAAAACCCGAAGTGATGCAGGTCTCAGACGTTTACCACTTCGGTGAAACCCACGAGCACAGGTATGGTTCTGACAAACCTAGAAACATAATCGGGGCGAACCGGGATTCGAACCCACAATCATATAGGTTTCTGGCGTGCCCAAGGGAGGCAACTCTGCACAGCGAATCGCGGCGCCTTAGACGACTGGGCCACCCGTGCCCCCTTAAAGAATATATAATGGTGCAATATTCTTGGAGCCGATGAAAACCAAACTTACCCAGTCACTATCAATTAGTATATACATGTTACAGGCGGACTAGTTATTACCGACTGTTTCTAAATAAAAGTTGATTGTTCTTTCAATATGTCGTCATTAACAAATTATGCCTGCATCTGTTTCTTCATCTGTAACATGGGCGGAGGATTGCCTACTGGATAAAGCGTTCGCTCATCACGCTTAAGGCCCGGGTTCGATTCCCCACATGGGCACAATATGTTAAGCCCATTTCTGGTTTCCCCCGTCGTGATTTTGCTGGAATATTGCTAAAAGCGGCGTAAAATCCAACTCACTCACCCATCTGTAACATACCTTTTCGTGCAATCAACACAACATGGTGTAGTACTATTTTTAAATTTGTACCGCCACGGAAACATGTCAGTGCACCACCCCAAGTATTTACTCATGTTTGTATTTTGTTTTTTCTTTTTATAGAGCGTTGTTATATGGACGCATCTACTATATCATTGTTGTGTGGTTTGTTTCAGGAGGTCGCGGAGATGCAGTGCATGATGAATCCCAGTTCAGATAACAACTGACAAAGACTGAGCCCAGTTCTTACAACATTAAGACAAGCGTTTATACACACTGATAACAGCTCACGCCTTGTGAGGCCTTTCTGGAAAGCCAAAGAGTTTTATTGATACAGAAGTTGTTTCAAGGATGTTCATTTTGGACAGTTCCAGATGACTGTGGATCGACGTGTTACTCCTCTATACAGAAACATTATTTGAAGTACGTCACATCAGACTTGGCCATTTACAGAAAGTGACTGATTCACCCCATAAACATTTTGGTTTAATTCGTGAATGAGAAGGGTCTTATTGCGTTTGCTATTTCAGGACAACTCTTGAAAATCCTTCTTGAAACTATTAAAATGCCAAGGAACTTCAATCAGACATATAGACAGAGGCAGTGTCTGTGAACGAAACATGAACGAAAACCAGGCTTACACTGCGCATCCATAAATTGAAAAAAACAGTTCTCGTGAATGATTAATTTTGCGCATACATGTACTAGAACCAGTTCTCATGTCAGATGACTACAGCGCATCGAAACTAGTACCGAGGAGCACGTGACACTGCGCATGCGTACATGACATTGATCATTCCAGAAATCCATTGTTACAGTTCCGATGTTTAGAAATGGAAATATTAGCTCTGAATGCTCAGTCACGTGTTCACATTTGATCGCGCGAACTCGTAATATGGTGCTTTTCTATCTTTGACGTTAGTGTTGTTTAGTGACCATTGTCACATGCACTGTCGACATAGTCTTCATGTTACATTGTCATTGTTGAATGTAGGGTGTGATAGAACTTCTTCGCTCATTAGGTTTTGTACATACCAGTGTTCCAACTGTATCCAAACGCTCTTAAGGGCTGTTCTCGGGCAGAATGTCAGTTCCTGCAAGCTTGATTCAAACACCACTTGATTTTTATATTATGCTAAATGTAACCCTTATAGGGTCTCGCTTCAAACAAAGTAATCTCTTAATTTGCTGAGTGAGTGAGTGAGATGGGTTTAACCCCGCTTTTAACAATATTCCAGTTATATCACGGCGTGTCAGCTTAATGTGGGAGGAAAGCCCAAAGGGATGAAGGTCTCAGACGTTTACCAGTTCGGCGAAACCCACGAGCACGGGTATGGTGCTGACGAACCTAGAAACATAATCGGGGCGAACCGGGATTCGAACCCACAATTATAGGTTTCTGGCGTGCCCAAGGGACGCAACTCTGCTCAGCGAATCGCGGCGCCTTAGACGACTGAGCCACCCGTGCCCCCCTTTAATTTGTTGACACCGTCTGACGTGGAATATTGACAGGACATATTTTTCGTTCCATTGTTAATTCTACTGACAGTAACAGGAATATTATATATGGATAGGATTTGTGTGGGTTATTGAATATAAAGCGAAAGAGAATATTCAGTCTCGATTATTTAAAAACACTGATTCCATTGGTCGAAAAGACAAAATAGCGGTGAAAATTATATGAATGGATAGGTGAAAAATCAATGATGACACGCAGTGTCAAAGTATGATGTGTCTCCACTACCATGACACTGCTACCATCGGCTGATGAACTGTGTAACGGTCCTATGTTTGAACCCCATTTCTGCTGTCCCCTGTTGTGGTATTGGTGACATATTGCTAATAGCGGCATCTAACCAGCTCACACACCCACTCCATCACTCCCACCCACCCCCCATCCCTCTCAGTAGTTCTTGAGCAGGAGCCATGCACCTACCCAACACCCGTGTACTTCCATATAACGGATGAGTGAGTGAGTTGAGTTTAAAGCCGATTTAATAGTATTTAAATTATATATCGACTTCACTATGAGGAACGACCAAGTGACGCGGGAGTCTAAAACGTGAAACCCACGAACGCAGAGCATGCATCATAACCAAGAAAAAAATGAATTCCAGCAAAGCGAATCCTGGCATCAAAGGGGATGTAAATATTGACGTCACGGACACCAGTTGAAAGGGTGACCGTGTTGGGCCCCTTGACTCCTGAGATTATCTGGAGATTCGGTCCTGCTCCATTCTAAAAATTCAGATGTCTCCTCAGGCAAGTGACTTTGTCCGACATTTGCCTCTATTAACCAAACAGTCAATGGGTATCCGGTAGGAGGAGATGGTTTGTTAACAAACAATGAATGGGTACCCGGTAGGATTAGATGGGTTGTAAACAAACAGTGAATGGGTACCCGGTAGGATGAGATGGGTTGTTAACAAACAGTGAATGGATACCCGGTAGGATGAGAGGTTGTAAACAAACAGTGAATGGGTACCCGGTAGGATGAGATGGGTTGTTAACAAACAGTGAATGGGTACCCGGTAGGATGAGATGGGTTGTTCACAAACAATGAATGGGTACCCGGTAGGATTAGATGGGTTGTAAACAAACAGTGAATGGGTACCCGGTAGGATGAGATGGGTTGTTAACAAACAGTGAATGGATACCCGGTAGGATGAGAGGTTGTAAACAAACAGTGAATGGGTACCCGGTAGGATGAGATGGGTTGTTAACAAACAATGAATGGATACCCGGTAGGATGAGATGGGTTGTAAACAAACAGTGAATGGATACCCGGTAGGATGAGATGGGTTGTAAACAAACAGTGAATGGGTACCCGGTAGGATGAGATGGGTTTTTAACAAACAATGAATGGATACCCGGTAGGATGAGATGGGTTGTTAACAAACAATGAATGGGTACCAGGTAGGATGAGATGGGTTGTTAACAAACAATGAATGGGTACCAGGTAGGATGAGATGGTAATGTGACTGTTAGCCTACGAAGGAGCTGAGATTGAAATTTGAGTGTACACTGATCCAAATACGAGGTGATGTCAAAGTTGCGTAATATTATTGATAATGAGCATTCACCGTGTGAATAGAATCTGCCGCATTTTTAATTAATGAACTTGTAGTTAATAATATAAGGGGGAATTGCGTCGCCTGAGACACTGGGGCCACCCTCTTTATAAGCTTGACCCTCAAGTAGCTTGACCAAGATGAATACCAGGATGTAACTCTCGGTAACCAGAGTATACAGAAACTGTCACGGGTCTCTCCCTTTATTATAAACTCTGAGTGTGTCCGGTTTAACATAACTTTGGTGAGTATGGAATGTATTTATGACGTTTTAAAATTATAAGATTCACAACATGTTGTTTTCGTGAACACATGTAAACTTTGTATCCTTAGTTATGTGCTTTAACGTGACTGTATCGAGATGTCAGTCAGGATGTTTCACAATGCCTCGTGGTTTCAGAACAAGCGTACAGGAGATATTATTGTCTTAAGGATGCCCGCTGGTCTGTTGTTTTGTGGATTAAGTATTCCTGAATATCATTAAAGTCCAGTTTTACCACGGTGTGTCAGCTTGATGTGGGATTCCAGCCTAACGTGATGCAGGTTTCAGACGTTTACCACATTGGTGAAATGGGTATGGTGTTGACAAACCTAGAAACACTGGGATTCGAACCCACAGTCATAGGATGCTCACTCGCCGAAGTGCGCGCCTTGGACAACTGGGCCACCTGTACCGCCTGTCCAAGTTGGAAAAGAAGGCGATAAGTATGCAGTTTGTAGCGCAAAGCTCACTTGTAAACTGCCGCGTCAAATTCCCACTTTCTACAGAGGCTTGTAAGTGCAAACACTTACCGCGTTAACAATTTGCATTACAGTTTTATTAATGGTACAAAGCTATTTTAAATATTTTTTACAACAGGTGCTTAATACGTTTATCTTTAAGAAAGCATGATTATTCCTCTATATATGTTATTGTGCACACTCGTGAGCAAAGAAAAAAAAACTTTCGCACTAAGATACATTTCTGCAACATTACACTGCGGGCGTCAAGCAGTGACGTTGAGATACATAGTTTTGTCATAGTTTAAACTTAAAAGAACGTTGCGGCGCTACTCTCCTAAACCTTTGCCGCAAGCACGCACCTGACTAAAGAAGGACCTAATTAACTTTTGAACGATATTTTACGCCGTATTTTTGGACTATTTGACTTTAGCCCGAGTGTGATTCATCTCGTCATAGTGGCGATGCAGTGAATTAAGATAATTAATATATGTAGAACTCTTGATACACGACAATTCCAGTTGCGCAGTGAACACACAAAACCAGGTCAGCAGATATCCTTTATGTGACATCTGTAACGCCGTGTCATTGTCTGTAATATTTTGTGTTAATAAATAACTGTTAATATTTTTCATAACAGTCGTTGTTTGTATGTTGAGAGCACAGATCAGCTTCTTAATCGGTGTTTTTTTTACTTGTTGGGGGACTTGATGAAACTGTAGAGGACTTCTGTTCATCATCTACTAGTATTCACATCCACATCACACTCACACTTCACTCACATCACACTCCCATCACATCACACTCTCATCACTCGCATATCACACTCACATCAATCTCATACCACACACACCACTCTCACACCACAATTACATCACACTCACACTCCCATCACATCACACTCACACTCACATCACATCACACTCACACTTCAGTATCATCACGCTCCAATCACATCACACTCACATCACACTCACGCTCCCATCACATCACACTCACCTAACACTCACATCACACTCACACCACAATCACACCACACTCACACCACACTCACATCTCACACACACTTCAATCGCATCACACACTCATACCACACTCATACCACATTCACACCACACTCACATCTCACACACACTTCAATCGCATCACACACTTATACCACACTCACATCACACTCACACCACACTCACACCACACTCACATCACACACACACTTCAATCGCATCGCACACTCATATCACACTCACATCACTCTCACACCACACTCACACACACTTCAATCCCATCACACACTCATACCACACTCACATAACACTCACACCACACTGACACCACACTCACATCTCACACACACTTCAATCGCATCACACACTCATACCACACTCACATAACACTCACATCACACTCACACCACACTCACATCACACTCACACTCACACCACACTCACATCTCACACACACTTCAATCGCATCACACACTCATACCACAGTCACATCACACTCACATCACTCTCACATCACACTCACGCCACACTCACATCTCACACACACTTCAATCGCATCACACACTCATACCACACTTACATAACACTCACTTCACACTCACATCGCACACACATTTCAATCCCATCACACACTCATACCACACTCACATAACACTCATATCACACTCACATCACTCTCACACCACACTCACACCACACTCACATCTCACACACACTTCAATCGCATCACACACTCATACCAGTCACATCACACTCACAACACGCTCACACCACACTCACATCACACTCACATCTCACACACACTTCAATCGCATCACACACTCATACCACACTCACATCACACTCACAACACGCTCACACTTCAATCGCATCACACACTCATACCACAGTCACATCACACTCACAACACGCTCACACCACACTCACACCACACTCACATCTCACACACACTTCAATCGCATCACACACTCATACCACAGTCACATCACACTCACATAACACTCACATCACACTCACATCATTCTCACACCACACTCACACCACACTCACATCTCACACACACTTCAATCGCATCACACACTCATACCACACTTACATAACACTCACTTCACACTCACATCGCACACACATTTCAATCCCATCACACACTCATATCACACTCACATCACTCTCACACCACACTCACACCACACTCACATCTCACACACACTTCAATCCCATCACACACTCATACCACACTCACATAACACTCACATCACACTCACACCACACTCACATCACACTCACACTCACACCACACTCACATCTCACACACACTTCAATCGCATCACACACTCATACCACAGTCACATCACACTCACATCACTCTCACATCACACTCACGCCACACTCACATCTCACACACACTTCAATCGCATCACACACTCATACCACACTCACATAACACTCACAACACGCTCACACCACACTCACATCACACTCACATCTCACACACACTTCAATCGCATCA